TCCAAGGGTAGTAAGACTTCTTTAGAACCAAATGGAAGTCTTAACTCCAACTCCTCTTCCCACAATTTTTCAGATGCTTGAGGGACACCAGCTACTGTGAAAGCATCCTGTAGGCAGGCCCTGATCAATGTCTCTTCATCTGCTTTGAAAACGCCAAGGAAAAATAAAGAGAATGCTACCTGCAAATGCAAAGCGTATTGACTTTCAAGCAAATTTCTGGAGACTGATTAAAAAGTCCAACAGAAGGAAACTGAAGTTCTTGTTTTGTAAAATCATCAAAAGCTAAATTGAGGAACACTTGATTTCCTTATTTCTTTTGGCACTAGTGATAAAGTGTCCTTATTTAAACACAGTCCACAGATCTGGCTGGAAAGAGCCACCAGTCTACAAAATGTTGGAGCTCACCCATCAGACGCGCATTGTTAAGGCAATGGCAGGTAATTCATTCAAGAGATCGGCGGGCTGATAAAGCTCTCTTTGTGGATGGAGCACTGTGCAGCCTAACAGCCAAGCAAGAGGCCTAGCCAGGTTATCTCAGCTCCAGCTAAGGAAACCCACTTCCCAGGAGGAACGACAAAAAGGAAGGGAAAAATGACTTCTGGCTTTCCAAAGGGAGACCTACAGAGGTGTTCAGTAGACTACAAATCGTGGGGACACAAGAAAACATTTTATGACTGAAGAATCTGAGAAATGCTCCCCACATTTTCTCTCTTTAAGCGTATTTTTACTGTTATTTTAATGAGCGAATCATCAGCAATATAAATCTTCTCAGGCAGTGTCAGGCACAGCCACCCACTCTGGAGTGTCATTAGCCACAAAGTGCCCGGTGCCCCCAGGAACACTTTGAAACCAAGAAAGAACATTATTCTAATACAGAAAAACATCAAAGAGCTGCAAGAACTGTGATGTGCAAGAAAAATACTTTTCTGTTACAGGGCCATGACAAACATGGTATGTATGTCTTGTTTTACGGGGTAATGAATGTATGCACAGTAAACAATCTAATATGTGGAGACAGACATAAAAGCAGATATGGGTATGTGTGGTCCCTCCCTCTCTACACACACATGTTAGTTATCAATTGCTTAAGGTAACAAAAAGCCCCCGAAACTTAGTGGCTTAAAACAACCAACATTTGATCCAGCGATTCCACCCCTGGGAACGTAACCGAAGAAACCAGAAACACTAATTCAAAAAATAAAATATGCACCCCTATGCTCACTGAAGCATTATTTACAATAGCCAAAATGTGGAAGTAGCCCAAGTGCCCATCAGTAGATGAGCAGATAAAAAAGCTGTGGTACAAAATCTCACCTGTTGCAACAGCATGGATGGGCTTGGGGAGTATTGTGCTAAGTGAAATACACCAGTCAAAGAAAGACAAGCACCATATGATTTCACTTATATGTGAAATCTAATGAACAAAATAAACTAACAAAATAGAAACAGACTCATAGACAGAGAGAACAGACTGACAGCTGTCAGAGGGGAGGGGTGTTAGGGGGCTGGGCGAAAAAGGTGAAGGGACTAAACAAAGAAAAAATTTTAAAACCTCAACAGCTGTATTTGCACACACACACACAAAACAATACACAATTTATTTTGACTCCATTTGCCACTTAAGAGGGATCTCAGCCCTGGCTGGTATGGTTCAGTGGATGGAACGCCAGCCTGTGAACCAAAAGGCTGTTGGTTCGATTCCTGGCCAGGGCACATCCCTGGGTTGTGGGCCAGGACCCCAGTTAGGGGCACGCAGGAAGCCACCAATTGATGTTTCCCTCCTTTTCCTTCTCCCTCCCTCCTTCTCTCTCTGAAAATAATTTTTTTTTTAAAAGAGGGATTCCAACTAGTAACTGTAAGCTATTCTCCAATGTGTCTATAGCCCATAAAGACATTACCTGTTCGCTCTTCTGAAAAAGGAGATCGATGTTATCTTTCCAAATATTCCTTTTTTCTTCCAATCTTCCCTTTGCTAGTACTTTCCCGTTACTTAGCGCATTTACTTGGTCTCGTACTACAACTTCTCTATGGATATACTTTTAAATCTTAAATTCAAGCCAACTAATGCCCTGTCTCCTGTAGCACTGGCTAAGCTCATTACATGCAGATTCTGCTACCCAACCAAATCTACCACAACCCCCATGAAAGTTCAGGCAAATCCCTCAATCTCTCTGTAGCTCAGTTTCTCCACTCTTCCATAGACCGGGCTCAACCACCCCAAAAATACACTGATTCCCATGACTCATCAAATTTTTCCCCCGTGTAGACCTGACTATGGGACATTCCGCTGGGTGCTCCCTCACAACTTTTTCTCCAGAACAATGATGAGAGGAGAGAGTGACTCCTTCTGGCATGTGAAGTATGGGACTAATCCAGGTCTCTTTATCCTTGACACCCATTGTACCTTGTAAGAGCTTCAGGCTTGGCCTCCACAGATCTCTTCTAGAATAAGCCTGGAGCCTCAGATAAAAAGCATCCAAAGACCCTTTCCTCTTCCTTCTCCTCCTCTTCCTTCGGAAGTTTAAAAATCTTGCTTCCTTTTCAGCTGTTAGTCTGGGGGAGGATTTGTTTACTGTTGCTAGTGTCCAGTTGGCAGGTTGCTAGGTCAGTAGAGCTTAGTGTGTGGGTGGGGTAGAGCCTATTTTGTTTGCTTTATAAATAAATACCAACATTTGTTTCATGTGCCTGGCTTTTTCTTTTATCGTCTGACAGCAGTCCTCATCCCCTGCCCCTGCTGGAAAAGTCTATGCTTTTATCTTAACAGTGAAAAGGGCTATGGAGCCAAAGGGTGCATGGGCTATGTTCATAAAAACATATTAGCAGTCACGTAAACAAGTGGCTCAGACCAGAAGTCCCATTAGATAGTAATTCAGGACTCAAGAGATAACAGGCACTATTTCTAATACGCCTTTCCAATTTGCTAAGGACTAGGGAAGATATTAGTTATCTCCACAATAAAACTCTATCAGACATGCTGTGCAGATTTCCTTACAACTGTAAAGGGAAAGCTACACATGCACAATAAAGATATCATTATCACATTTATTTCCTTGTTAGCAAAGCCTTCAATCACGAAGAGGGCATTACTTACTAGGCTGGGCCCACAGGCAGTAATTAATAAGAAACCTGGGAAACGAATGAGCAATTTTAAGAAAAGCAGTTGTTCTGTTAATAACAAGGTTAGTTTACTAAAATTTTATACCTTTGTCTAAGTTGTATTTCATTCATTCACTCAACAAATATGTTCCGTATAAAATATGGCCGCAACCGCTTAGTGAAGAAATTAAATTTGTTCAAAACCCCTGAGTGTACTCACGAGGGCAGAGACAATGTTCCGTTCAAACCTCGGGCAATGATCACTCACAATGCGCTAACTGCTAACATCAGCCCTTTCACTTAAATTCAAGGGCACACCTTAGAACAAGGGTGTCCTATGTGAGGAAAATCTAATATGCAAAAGGTAATTCCAAACCAGAAACAACATTACTTGAAATTTGAAATTTAAGCATTAAAGGGGGAAAGCAAACAATCACAGCATCTCCTTTAAATACCCACTTCCTCAGGAACAGATAAATTAAGTTATGCAAAAGCAATACCACAATAACCAAGGGATCAGTATGATATGCCCGTAAGGGCATCGTTTTATGTACTATTCCTGCCAAAATCAGGAAAAAACATCATACCAACCGAAACTGCTACAAAATAACTGGCCTATAATATTCCAAAACGTCAATGTGATAAAAGACAGAGAAGCAAAGGAACTACTTCTGATTCAGAGACTAAACAGACATAAAATCAACGTGGAATCCTGGATTAAATTCTGGACTGGGGACAGGGAGGGGAGGGGGATGCAATAAAGGGCATTATTGGGATAGTCACAGAAATCTGGATATGGACTTACATTACATAAGAGTATTACACCAATGTTACAATTCCTGTTTTTGTTCATTGTGCTGTGGTTATGAAAGAGAAATGTCCTAGTTGTTAGGAAATATATGCTGAAATATTTAGGGGAATAGGGTATGAAGTCTGCAACTTTCAAGCAATTCAAAAAATATGTAATACAGAGAATAAGAAGCTAATGTGACTAAATGTTAATAAGAGATGAATAGAAGTGAGCTGTATTTCTGCAATTTTTCTGTAAATCTGAATTTGAGTAAAACATTTAAAAACTTTAAAAACATGTGAAATGGAAAATTAAAGTTAGGTTACTTGTCTTTAAAAAGGACTTTCTGCAAGTCTCTATCATTAAGTGCTGTGAGTTTTAGGTTTTTTTAAATATTTCTCAGCATCCAATGTTTTTCCTTATTTACAAATAGTTTTCTCTTTCTTGCTGATGACACTAGCACGTTCACCCTTAGCAGGTCTAAAATATAAATGGAAAGGAAAACTTCAACATACTGTTTTGGCGGGGGGCGGGGTGTGGTGTGTGTGTGTGTGTGTGTGTGTGTGTGTGTGTGTGTGTGTGTGTGTGTGTTACATCTTTCTCTAAGAGCAGAGAATTAAACACCTTGCCAATGGACTGTCCTTTAACAGTTACTTTTCTTCATCAAACAGCGTAAATCCCTGTGACTTGCCTGACTTCAGATGCTATACCAGCTTCAGCATCAATGACAGAGCACCACCTAGCTGCAAAACAGGGTACTGCACATGGGCAGTAGGAAGATCACACAACCTTTACAGAAATACACTGTAAAAGAAGCCACAAAATCATTTTGCAGAGCAATGCAATCACCTTATGTGTGCATCTTACCACCCTGACTAGTTCAGCTCGCAGTCTTACAGGTATGATGTGTACTCAGCTCAGAACCATGCACATATTAGTCACTTAGTATTTACTAGATCAAATTCAATTTCTGAAGTTTGTGACGCCAATAAATTCATAGGCAGATGGTTAAAAATTCCTCTGATAATAACATGACAGCGTATTGGGGTTTATTTTAACAGGAAAACAGGATAGGTAAGTAAAAAAATGAAATGAAATTTCATGATTAACTCACATATAGTGGAGCTTGCTGTGGGTTAAGTTTCATGACCCAGGACACTGAAAAAGAAAAGGGAGAAGAAATAAATAAGAAAAAATTAAAAGTCATCACCAAAAATACAAAACCACCTGAAGTCCAAGATGCCAAGTGTGGCCACCTGAGCACAATGAGAAGTCCGAGATCACTGGGTGCGCCGCCAGCTTTCCTTAGAGGTTTGGGAAGGCAAGAAGGCAAAGACTGCAAAACTCCTAGTAACCCAAATTCAATCTTTTCAAGTGGGGAGAAAATTTTTCCAATTGAAAAAATAAAGAAAAAAGGTTTCACTGTCATAAAAGAAGTTCAACCACCAACAGGATATTAAAAGCAGTTAACACTACAGTAAAAACAGTGTATGTTCAGTTATGCTTTTACACATCCCTCACACCCACCCGACGATGCGCCCAGTCCCACCAGGGAGCCTGGACAAAAGAGGGTAGCAACTATTAAAAAAACCCAAAACACCCTAGCCAGATAGTTTAGTTGGTTAAAGCATTGCCCCAATAGATGAGGGTCATGAGTTCAATCCCTGGTCAAGGCCCATACAAGAATCAACCAATGAATGCAGAGATGAGTGGAACAAGTCAGGATTTCTCTCTCTCTGTCTCTCCCTTCCTCTCTCATGCAAATCAATAAATGAAAAAGAGAAAGAAAAAAAAAAGACGGTGGCAGGGGCCATAGAGCTGTCTTCTTCTCTGCCCTACTCTCAGGAAAGGGAGGTTACAGTGGGCTTCCAACAACTTAAAGTTGTTGCCCTCTTTAAAATTCAAATTAATGGCTGAATTCCATATCATTACTTTCACTAAATGCATCCTCACAAAAATCTTTTTTTTTTTAGTTCCATTTTTTTTTTAACATTGTCCTTTTTTTTTGTTTGTTTCAACTTTTTTTTTTTTTAAATGCATTTGTCTCTGCCTCCCCCCCAACACTTTTTTTTGAAAAGTGGTGAGGGGGAGGAAAAATCTTATGAAGAACTTTAAAGTAAACTTACAAGATTGTATAATACATTCCTGAATATTAAGAATAGCATGTTCTTAAACATTTAACTTTGTGATTTATCTAAGCTAAAATATTATGGTCCAGAATCGTGGACTTAGAAGGGCAGGTCCATTGCTAAGCACCCTAAATTTGAGAGTAAGCTGATTCCATCTTCGTAAGAGTCAGAGAAGCAGACCCAAGTAATTTCATTATAATCTGATCTAAAGAAGGGTCTTACCCATCTGTAATAGGTAACTGAATTAAAACACATACTAACCACCAATATAAACCACAGTACAGCAATGTAAAATAAACTCATACATGCAAAAAATAGATAAAATCCCACACTTTGTGTTCTACCAGATCACAAAATAGCACTAGAGAGTAAATGAAGTCCAAAGAGAATAAATAAAAGGTTCTCAATGACCAAATGTTTATAATAAAGGGCAATGCCTTAAGGACAGCACATAATCCAAAGAACAAAATCCTCTCAATATTAAAATCTTCACAGATCTCCCAGTTTGGTCAAGATGTTTATGTCCGAGATTAAGACTCACCTAAAAAGTAGTTAACGTACTTAGGGGAAAAAAAAATATGTAACCAGGCTCCTAAGCCCACTCATCTCCAATGAGTGGGTGCCCCTGGACACGGTAGGAGGACGCGGACAGCCAGGTGGCTTCCCCCACGGTGACTGACAGACCACCTTCATGGCCCGCAGTTCCTTCTCCGGTCCACCCCACACACTGTACCAGACTTCCAGGCTCAGCGCTCTCTTTCCTTCCTGCCTGCCTTCATTTAGTAATTTTGCATCCTTAGGTGTTAAAATCACCTGCAGATATTTACACTGAATGCCAAACTTGAGAAATGTAGCAACAACCAACTCTTGTAGTAGGAAAATAAATATTTCCAGCCCATTAGATGCAAGCATGGATTAAAAAGAGAGATTTAAGCACCTGAGAACCTTCTTAGTGCATTAAATATCTATTTAATTTAAAATTCATCTCACTGTACTCACTGGCCTTTTAATCAGCTTTCCAGGTCCTGTTCAGACTTGCCTGGGACAAAGGATTGAAAAAAATCCATAAATTTATGAACCAATTTGCCTGAACTAACTTAAGTATTCTTGTCATCAAAAGCAGAAGAAATATTAGTGGAAACTAAAACAAGAATAAAAACCTTGGTAACCCATAAGGGTTGAAGAATCTATGGAGACATACTAGTGACTTGCGAGTCCTCTAATGTTTCTTCATTTGCCAAGAAATTTAAGATGACTATGTGAGTACAGACCACAAACATCAACTTATCTGAGTGGCTCCCATGGCATTTGTACAAGAGAGCTGGCAAAACTCAGGCGGCGCTAGGAAAGGCTGATGCCATCTGAACAGCATGGAACAGTCAACTCTCTAAATCCATGCAAGTTGTCCTGATATCAAGATTAGACAGGAATGACAAAATGTCTGTCCTCCTGCATTGGTCAAAGGGACAGGTCGTTGTTATGCTGGCAGCGCAGACTGTTAGGAAGAATAAATCTGTCACCCTGACTGGTGTGGCACAGCAGGTTTGGGCGTCATCCTGCAAACCGAAAGGTCACCGGGTTGATTCCCAGTCAGGGCACATGGGCTGCGGGCCAGGTCCCCAGTTGGGGTTGGGTAAGGGGCAGCCAATCAATGCTTCTCTCTTACATTGATGTTTCTTTCTCTTTCTCCCTCCCTCCCCCCTCTCTCTAAAAATAAATAAATGAAATTTTTTAAAAATGTTTAAAAAGGATAAATCTGTCATTCAGTAGTAACTAGCTAGAGTTCTGAAGAGTCATAAATGTGAGGGGCGTGAAACAGTAACAATCACAGTAATTACGTATATTTATTCTCCACATTTTCCACTTTTTCAAAATGCTGAAAGAAAACAAACATAATTGTTTACTGCCGTATAAAAATAACAAATTCACTTGATGTCAAAACAAGACTCACCCAATTTTTTTAAATGCTTTCGTAGTTCTTTTTTTCTCACTCAAGGACTTTTTTTTTTTTTTTTTTTTGTATTATCGCTTTTAGACAGAGAGGAAGGAAGAGAGAGAAGCATGGGTGCGAGAAAGAAGCATGAATTTGTTGCTTCCATATATGCCTGGACTGGGGATGGTACATGTCTGGACCGGGATCAAACCTTCAGCCCAGGTATGTGCCCTGAGCAGGAATCAAACCTGCAACCTTTCCATTATAGAACCATGCTCCAACCAATTCAGCCACACTGGCCAGGGCAAGACTCACCCAGTTTTAATGCAACTATCTCAGTTACATAAATCCACATTCTCCCACAATGCCCATGTGTAAGAAGTCTCATCAGGGTGCTGCTGAAGAGGGAAACAAAGACTGACTATAATCTCTTCCTTGCACTTTAATATCAACTATCATTGGGCTCTTTTCATAGAGTGCAATGTGCCAGAATTGACCAGCATTGCGTGTACAGTGCTTACAAAGGTTAGCAGCAGCAAAGTTTTGGAATTTTTTGTAATTAATGCTATCTGCGAAGGATTATATAGAATGCATTCACTATACAGGATCACACAAAAACTCACAGATGAAGTGATGTGGTAGTTTGACTGGTCTGAGAGAACTAAAGAAAAAAAGGACTTCCATCCACCAAAGTGTCTACAGAAATGAATGCAAAATCTTAGAAGTTAAAAAAAAGAAAAAAGAAAAAAAGAAAAGAAAGAAAAATTACACATCCAAATAAAAACTGGTGTCCACAGCAGGGATCAGCAAACATTTCTGTGAAAAGCCAGAAGGCAATTATTTCATTTCAGGCTTTGCAGGTCAGATAGTTTTTGGCAATATGTAAATGAATGGGTGTGGCCATGTTCCAGTAAAACTTTATTTACAAAAAGGACATCAGGCTAGATTCAGCCACTGGGTTGTGGAATGGTAACATCTGGTCAAAAGCTAACAAGCTGCCCAGCCCTGACCGGCATGGCTTAGTTGGTTGGGAATCACCCCACAAAGCCAAAGGTTGCCAGTTCTATTCCCAGTCAGGACACATGCCTGGGTTGCAGGTTCAGTCCCAGGTAAGGGGTGTACAAGAGGTAACCAAGCGATGTTTCTCTCCCTCTCTTTCTCCCTCCATTTCCCTCTCTCTAAAAACAAATAAAATCTTTAGGAAAAAAAAACTAATAAGCTACCTCTTAAGTCAAAGAAGCAATGTGTCCTCATTCAACAGGTATATACATCTCAAAAAATAAATGTATTTTCTCTCTCACATCTCCTCATGTGTATAAAGAGACAGTAACTCCTGCCTATACTGTGAAGCTGGCGAAAAATGAAGATAAGCCTAATGAGATGCTTAAGCAGTGGCGCTGCCAGGCACAGAGTAGAAGCCACAGTTTCTTCTCCCTTACCGAGTTTCTGGGTCTCAGTGGAGACACCAAGTAAAATACGCTGAAAACCATAAATGGTTAAATGAAAGGTTTCATTGCACACTAGAGACGTACTCCTGTCTTAAAATACATGGGTGGGTAAAGTACAGTTCAAATATATAACAAAATAATCATAAAAAAGAATCTGAAGGAACAAATACCAAAATGTTAAGTATACATATTTCTGGGAATTATAAGGAATTTTCCATTCCCAAATTATCGGTTTCTTAATCACAACTATTCAAACAATGAACAGATAGTACTTTTGCAATCAGGAAAAAAAGATTATACACAGCACATCTGTTTTAAGTCCTCATCTATTCAATGTATCACATCTGAACTAAGAATGAGTAAAAAGACATTTTTTCCCCTACATGCGCAAACTGAAGAAATATACAAGTCATGGTCCCCACAGCTAATAAAATAAAGGCAATTAAAACAAAAATGTCTGTCCCAAACTCACTATTCTTTAGCCATAGCCACATATTATACTAGAGACGCCTTTAACAGGAACTCAACTAATGCAATGTCCATGGTTGCGGGGGAGGGGGGCGCAGGATGTTGGGGGCGAATCATAGGCTCCCAACACCATAACAGGTAATTATACTGCGAACTGCAAACTCTCTTGAACCTGTTAGC